TTTCTGGAGTGGACAGACTTACCTGCGTTAGCAAACTGAGCTAACTAACTTGAGAAAGAAGGATCTGGCTATTTCCTAAAACGTAGCTTTTCATGCTAACAGTGGGCTACACATCTCCCACACTTCACCTACAAGGATTACTGTCCGTTCACCTGTCTGCGGTAATACCATGCTTCATCGACAGAGCACTGGTTTAACTTGACAGTAACATATATATTTCATTGGCACCACCTGTAATTATACTCCTTTAAGCCGCTAAATACTCTAAACCCGCTTTGGGAGTTACAGCTAGGCTAAGAGCTAGCAGCTAACACCAGAGAGGCAGCAAACTATGCTAAGTTAGCTAACAAGCTGTCAAATGAAGAACTCCGCGTCTCCATGTCTTCTGTGGTCATTTTACACGTTTGTACCGACACACTTCGCAAGTCGTGTAATTCAAAGAGAAAGTGTTGAACTAATTGACAGGTGTTAGTGTGAGCTGCTTTAGTCAGTTCACCGTAATGCAGGTAAACAAGCTAGCAAAAAGTTAGCCTCCTAGCCTGCTAGCTGTACTCACATTGCTGTGACTGTCGACGGCCTGCAGCAGCCGGTCCTTCATCTGCTGCGGGGTTGCCGAGACCGTTGTCATTGCCTGTTCGGTGCGATTCGGAGGATGGAGGGAGGAATCCTCCAAAATGAAAACCAGGCGACAGAGAGGACTCAAAAGCCGGCGTCGTCACACGTCAGGCGTCCGAACAGCATGTTTTTTTTTCTGTTGCCTGGAAGTTGACGGCTCGGGGGGGGGTTTTTCTCACATGGAGCTGGAGATGCGTGTGCAGTGTTGACCGTCTGCTGCTGCCTGCTCGGCGCTCTCACAACTCACTACCAGCTGCTGGATCTCTGAACGGCCTCCTGCTGCATGCTGGGATACGCTGTGTACGCTGTGACGTCTGCACGTAGCCAAGTAAACATCCCTGGCGTACAACACCTACAGCCCCGGTGAGTTACTTTACAGCAGCAGGTTATCCAACACACAGTATGAGTAAAAAACAACACAATGTTAGCAAGTCTAAACACAATATCATATTAAATACAAAGTAAATAAGTACTAAAAATATCAAAACTAAGAATGTGAATATATACAACCAGGATTTAACTAAACATTACTAGTCTTAAATAGGAAGATTAGATATGGAAGATTGAATGTGCAAAAACAGAGTTGTAAATGGTTGTACATTAAATATGGAAGATTAAATGTAAATGTGCAAAAACAGAGTCGTAAATTAAATATGAAGGATTAAATGTAAATGTGCAAAAACAGAGTTGTAAATGGTTGTAAATTAAATATGGAAGATTAAATGTAAATGTGCAAAAACAGAGTTGTAAATGGTTGTACATTAAATATGAAGGATGAAATGTAAATGTGCAAAAACAGAGTCGTAAATTAAATATGAAGGATTAAATGTAAATGTGCAAAAACAGAGTTGTAAATGGTTGTACATTAAATATGGAAGATTAAATGTAAATGTGCAAAAACAGAGTTGTAAATGGTTGTACATTAAATATGGAAGATTAAATGTAAATGTGCAAAAACAGAGTCGTAAATTAAATATGAAGGATTAAATGTAAATGTGCAAAAACAGAGTTGTAAATGGTTGTACATTAAATATGAAGGATTAAATGTAAATGTGCAAAAACAGAGTCGTAAATTAAATATGAAGGATTAAATGTAAATGTGCAAAAACAGAGTTGTAAATGGTTGTACATTAAATATGGAAGATTAAATGTAAATGTGCAAAAACAGAGTTGTAAATGGTTGTACATTAAATATGGAAGATTAAATGTAAATGTGCAAAAACAGAGTCGTAAATTAAATATGAAGGATTAAATGTAAATGTGCAAAAACAGAGTTGTAAATGGTTGTACATTAAATATGGAAGATTAAATGTAAATGTGCAAAAACAGAGTCGTAAATTAAATATGAAGGATTAAATGTAAATGTGCAAAAACAGAGTTGTAAATGGTTGTACATTAAATATGGAAGATTAAATGTAAATGTGCAAAAACAGAGTCGTAAATTAAATATGAAGGATTAAATGTAAATGTGCAAAAACAGAGTTGTAAATGGTTGTACATTAAATATGGAAGATTAAATGTAAATGTGCAAAAACAGAGTCGTAAATTAAATATGAAGGATTAAATGTAAATGTGCAAAAACAGAGTTGTAAATGGTTGTACATTAAATATGGAAGATTAAATGTAAATGTGCAAAAACAGAGTCGTAAATTAAATATGAAGGATTAAATGTAAATGTGCAAAAACAGAGTTGTAAATGGTTGTACATTAAATATGGAAGATTAAATGTAAATGTGCAAAAACAGAGTCGTAAATTAAATATGAAGGATTAAATGTAAATGTGCAAAAACAGAGTCGTAAATGGTTGTACATTAAATATGGAAGATTAAATGTAAATGTGCAAAAACAGAGTCGTAAATTAAATATGAAGGATTAAATGTAAATGTGCAAAAACAGAGTTGTAAATGGTAGTAAATTAAATATGAAGGATTAAATGTAAATGTGCAAAAACAGAGTCGTAAATGGACAGTATTGACAAAAGTTAAAGTGCATGAGTGTAGACATATTATAAGCAGAAACAATACAATATAACGGCGAGTAGACAGCCAAATGAAGTGAACTTGAGTGCATGGATAATTTGTAAATTTAACATGTGCAGAACAGATTACAGTATGGAGAGACAGATATTATCAAGTAAGCCCATGGATGTGTCCCTGTATAATAAACTTCTAATTTTTAAAGCCCTACTGACCTGTTTTTATATCCAGGGGATCAGGTGTATGTTAATGCATTTTTAGGGAGCCTGCTTATCTAGGCTACATTAAAAACAGAAGTGAAGACAATCGCCTCTTTAAGACTTTAATATTAATACTGGTAGCCTATATGTATTTGTATGATAAACCAGGAACTTTTATTGTGCCTTCGTTTGTATTTTCTCGTACTGGCTGTCTTTGATTTTAACCTTCAGTGTGTGACAAAGTTGTTGTCTATTTTTGAATATATTTTATTGAAAACTACGGAAGCGTATTGCATTCATGTGGAGAATTTTTTTTTTTGCCTGGTTTCTTGTTATTACGAGATAAAGATCTCGTTATTTTGAGAAAAGATCTTGTTATTACGAGATAAAGATCTAGTTATAACGAGAAAAGATCTCGTTATAACGATATAACGATGTTTGTGTAACATTATACCAGAATGGCATCTTATTAATGGCTTTTTATCATTTAATGAGACTCATTAAATGATATTCAACTGATCCTGGAGGAAGAACGCAATGTCAAGTAGGTCAGAGTGTTCTTTCCGTCTGAACAACTTTAACACCTTCAGATGCCTGCGCAAAGTTGACATGCTCATGATAATACCATCTATGTTACTCAAAGACACTAATATTTCCCAATGTCTTAACCCAAGATGGAAATAAAACGCAATCAAATCAATAACCCTGGTCATCGTTGCCTTTTCTTCCTCCCTCCTCTGCCTGCCACAATGCAAACTTCATTACCCCTCTCGTTATCATTTTAGTCTGTTATGTGATCTTTTTCTCGTAACAACAAGATCTTTATCTCGTAATAACGAGATCTTTTCTCGTTATAACGAGATATTTACTCGTAATAACAAGGTCTTTTCTCGTTAAAACGAGATCTTTATCTCGTAATAACAAGAAATCAGGCAAAAAAAAAATTCTCCACATGAATGCAATACACTTCCGTAGAAAACAAAACGAGTATTTCGATTGATATTTTGCCTCAGCAAACTAATTTGCCTGAAGGGTCAAGTAGGCCCACAAATATTAATGAAAAGGAAAAGTAGGAAATCCTCGTATTTGAGAATCTGTCTGCAGCTTACATCTACATTTATACTTAATAAATTATTTAAACAATTATATAAAAGGAATACATAAATATTTAGCCACAAGGGTCTTTTAATTAAAGGCCTTTGTGTTTTGTTGTTTTTTCTTTTTTTCTAATATGCTTGTTATCTGTCACCCTTGGAAATAAAGAGAGCCTCAATGTATTTTAAAAAATAAATAACGGTTTGAAATGAAAGGAAATGAAATGTTGGAATTATTGAAACAAGTCTCAAAAAAGATTACAAAACTCTTTAAGCCACAATTAATTTTTTTTTTACAATCATTTAGCAGTGAGGGGAGTCCCTGTTTTAAAAAACAAAACCGGTTCGGTTTTTGTGAGATTGGGGAACAGCTTTGGCTTTTTCCATCTAATATGGAATCAGTAACCAGATGACCACACAAACACACACACACAACTACTATTTATCACTATTGTTACATTAATGTCATTCACTTTGGAACCTGAGATTTAAATACATGTTTAATTAATGGATGTGTTTATACCATGAAATGCGAGTTATTGATAAGTTTGCATTGAAGTGTTCCACCAGCAGATGGAGTCCTGCAGTTCTTCAGAGAAAAGCATGAGCTAAGCCTGTCTCTACAACAGGAGGTCAGATGAGGAGAAAATCAGGATGCTGCATCACTGGAGACGATTGGGCAGGAGAGACTGTTGAGCCATTTGAGGGAATCAAACTTGAGCCACCGCACTACAGGGACTACAAGGATGTGGATCAGTCACGCGTAGTCTAATTTCTTTTGTAAGGTTTTTTAGTCGGCTAAACATCCACTTACACAATAAAAAACATGAACCTTTCCTGATGTAGAAAGACAGAAATCTAACCACCAGTCATCTTGGTCATTTCTTTTGTCATGTCCATCCCACATGCATAGTGTCAGCTCCTTAAAATGAGTAGGTGTGGACAGAGTGGGAGAGGCAGGGTGAATGCTGGGCGTGAAGCTGTGGAGTGGGTGAGAAAATCCTAAGTTATGCCAGTAATGTGGGCTGCAATCATCATGTAACTACTCTTTTAGTTCTTTATTTTCTTGTGCTTATGAAGTCCACCTGATGACAAAAAAAATACACTAAAGCCCATTTCTGCTTATTCAGATATATTTATTTTCATTTCTTTTACAAATAATAATGCAAAGTTACAAGGACAGAAGCCTCCACACAAGAAAAATACATCAGGTACAGTTCAAACAGAAGCATATTTCTTCTTTTATATAGCACACATTTACAGCCAACTTGGATTCTTTTGGTCTGATTTGACAGTCAAGATAGAAAACACGCAGTTTGAGGAACAACGTTTGATCCAGTCATTTTTTAAAGGGTTACCTCAAAAAAGTACCAACTTGCCAAGCTGTGCTGCAGAATGCTAGATTTTGCATATTCCATGAGCATAATGTTTCCTGTTGCTGTGAGCGTAACAACAGGAGCATAGTGCACCCCTTCACGGCAGTAAAATGCATGTTTGGAATAGTGTAACTGTACTTAGAAACAAAATACATTATATAACAATTTAGCTGCCATTGTATGAGGCTTGAACCAGCAGTGGGCTGCCCTCAAAATGCACATAAAGGATTCAGAGATGTGAGGAAACCCACTGAGTAACCCCACAGGACTATGAGTCCGTTTCATCTTCCTGATTCAGTTTGTGTTTTAATGTGTTGCATCACAGAGTCAACATTTATCTAGTAGTATACAGTCTGACTTTACAGTATTTGAATCTGCCACATCTGATCTTATTTCTCAGACAAGTATTATATAGTGAAATGCACTTCAAAAAGTGTTTGACAAGATTTATAAAAGACGAAAAAGCAAAATAATTTAAAGTAAAATGTAACATGTCAAGGTATTTTACGAGATATTTTGAAATTTAGCATACCAGAAAAGAGATTTCCCATGCATTAGAAAGGATCCACGAGTCACATCTCTTTACATATGCTGCTGCAATATTTGTTGTTATCATATCCAATGTAAACAATGCATTGATAAGTTCATAGTTTCTATGTAAAGTCATTTCTAATAAAATATTTTGAAAAAAAAAAAGAGTTCTCTCATTTATGGCTAGTCTGAAATTTGGCATTTTCTGTTCCACTGTTGATTTAAAACGAAGAGAAAAAAGGGGAAACAGTGTTATTGACAGATTCACTACTTAACTCAATCAATCTATATTGTTATTATGACTTATTAAAAAAATACATATGGAGAGTGGGATAAGGGGAAAAATAAAAGCAGTCAATTAAATAAAAAGTGCCATCAGGGCCTGGAAATGCCAAAGGATGAAGTCCAGAGAAAAGATAATGAATTCATATAACTTTTAAAATCTTGTGAAAAAGAATATATTAATAAGGTCATAATATTGACATAATTGTCATACAATTCAAATGACATTACTGATTCACTGTTACAATTAAATAGCAAAAATGTTTTGCTATTTTACACTGCAAGTGGTTCATATGTAGTCTGTTATAACAGTATTTAACAAAGCTGAAATATTTTCGAAGAGATAAACAAACATTGCTCTGTTGTAAACTCTTGTCTCTGTAAACACTGGCTTAAAGAACACCAATGGAAACCTGAACGTTGATGCTTAAAAAGGTGACATTGACAGGCGACACATCAGTCAGAGCTATCTACATGAGCACAAAAGTTCAAAAGAAACACTCAAACAGAAAAATGGACCTACAAAAGATGTCAGGCTCACGCTTAAAGTCTGAGGTCCAGCAGAGAAGATAAGAGCCACAAGGACGTGTTGCAGCACAGTATTTCTCAGTGCATTTTCTCACTTTGACATCATAGCACATAAAGCACGAAAAACATTGATCCTACTGCACAGCAATGTACAAAGCTAGTCTAGATTTACCATGACATAATCAAACTCTGTAGGTGTTGCACAGAAAGCACATACTGTATATTGCAGTGTAAAACATAGTACCAAACAACAGCTTGTACATGTGCATAAAACGGCTGATTACCATACTTCTGATGCTTTTAGGCTTCACTTAGCAGATACATACTGTAGCCTACACATGACGCTGAAGTTAAAAAAGACATTAAAAGCACATATATCACCAAAAAACAGAACACTTAAGACAAACAAGCTGTCCCCAGCCCTTCAAAAGAACAAGAGAAAAAAAAGCCGTAAAAAGGGAAAAGATTTCCAGATATTCATGCAATCACAACTTTTTCTAAATAACATAAAAAAATGCAAAAATACAGACACATGATGCATCGAACACATTAAAGTACTTTCAAAAACAAGAGGAAAAATAATCTTCAAGCCCAACAACTTAAATTCAACTTATTCCATAACATTTTTCAGAACATTTTTGATTTAGATCATGACAAAAATAATAATGGTGAAATATGCTGGCACAAAAGGACCTTGACACTTGACAAAAGAAATAATGTTGTAGCAAAGGATAACGTGTTTAGTGTTGTAGACTGAGGGGAAACGAGTGTCTAGTGTCCTAGAAAAAAACAATCTTCACCTTATGGGTATTTGTAACATTAATATACCTGGACTGATTAGTACTCACTCTTTTTCAGTGATTGTTCGATCCTATCAAACATGGCATTGTGATAATATGCCCTGCAGATTACTGGTTAGCTCATTTTAGAAATGACGAAAAAACATGACAGTATTTTGAGCTATTTCAATAAGAAACATTTGGTTTGCTCATAAGAGATTAGTAACACATTTTCATAGTTTAGTTTCTGTCCCAAAATACAACAGTGTTCCTGAACAGTACACAGCTAACAAAATACCTACTGATTGACTTCAAACAGCTCTTTTAAATATATTTTTTTTATATGACTATTAAAAAATAACTATAATTTAATTCTGTTTTTTCATATTCTCTCTGTTTTTTGTTTTCTGTTTTTTTTTTTTTTTTTTTTTTACAAGAAGGCAATTTAAACAGAGACAGGGCAACAACAGGTCCAGTGCACGCAACAGTCACAGGGGAGTGTATATAAAATCTTTTAAATCTTTTTTTCAAATAAATGCATAAAGTGCAATATGAGATATGGACGCAGTCAAGCTGTTGATCCTGGCTTCATGAGGAGTGTTTTAGAGCAGAAAGCCAAAAAGTTTTAGAACAAAAGAGCCAGAGATACATCAAACAAGTCAACCAAGGGTACACAAAGCAGCATTATGACTAGGAAACAGATATTCAGAGTCACTGTAGTGCTAAAGAAACAAATAAAGTCTTAACGTTTTAAAAAAAAGACAAATCTCCTTTGCAGGGAGAAAAACAATCAGGTGCAAGATATTTGGTCCTACAGTACACAAAGGCCAGATATGAGAGGCAATGAGGATGACAAGATGGCAACAACACAACCGTAAAGATGTGACCAAAATACATTCTCATTGCATCAACAATGCTGTTCTAGTATAGAGGCAGTTTAATTATCTGGAAAAATATATATATTTCGACTACACTGAGGTCACATCTTTGGGAGAAATCCTGGAGAGTTTCTACAGGGTGCCCTACTCACCGAGAATTTTTTTCTCCACAATTAACTAGTCTAAAAGAAGTTTTCAAAGTATTACAAGAAATGAAACATGGCACCAGCGCTATGAGAGTCTTGCATGTTGGCTTCCTTTTATAAGGGTTCATTTTATGTGTTTCACTTTACAGTCCTAAATCAATCGCTGTAGTTTTGCATAGACACCATTACGCTAAATCTAATCACATTCTGTACATGAGAAAAACAAAACAAGCCTGTAAACATCTATTTCATAACAGAATCACTCTGTGAACCATTTAGAATGGGCTGATCATGTAAAAGATAAATGGCATGTTAGTAACAATGGGTGGAGTAATGGGTAAAGGTCAGTGCACCTCCAAAAAATGCAACCATGAATGATGTAGACCAGACCACCTGCTCAACAGTAACTCAACATTTGAAATGTATTTTTTCTCATTTACATAATAGTCATATTTGCACACAAAAAAACAAAATGTTAAGCTATTAAGGCAAAACAAGTATGCACAGTGTTTTGTAATTTCATGCATAACCGATGACTGCTATTTACCATGGTAATAACCGATAATCAGCATTTTCTTAAAATATCTCAGTTGGTAAAATAACAAGTTATTGTCTTTTGGGTCTTCAGAGGAAATGTGTGAAAACTCTAACCAGGTCTGAGTTTGTCTTCTTGATCAAACCAAATGGGGATTAGCACTAAATCAACAACAACTAAATTGACAGAGAGTACAAGCAGCCTGGCATAGAGCAGGTCTAACCTGACAGGTGTTTCCTCTGAGTCATCCAGCTGTGCGATGTAAACACGTGTGTCAAACACTACTGATTGAAAAGGATTAACTCTGCAGACTTTGAGGCTCGATTTAACCTCATATTTACTTCCATAAAAAATAGGAATCTAAATTCAACCAAAACTAAAAGCGTAATTTTTAAAAACTGAGAGATCTGCAAACAAAACTTGATTGTAATCAGTCGTAAACCATCATTCTGGTTCTGAAGAGATGGGAGGCTGGGCACGTCTTCAACTTCACATTGTGTTTTTCTACAATCTTCTCTTTTGAAAGCTCTCTTGTGGGGTTTAATTGGGTTGGTTTAATGGGAATGATACTCTGCACTGACCAGATCTTGACCAGTACACTTTGGAATCCCTCTCTTTTTGAACTCATCCTCTAAAATGTAACTCCCCTTCTCCCTCCCGCCCAGGCCTGCGGCATTCACACACCTGTGCACCATCATTGGTTAGAGCCGGTCGAGGCGAAACGCGTCCTCTGTGGCTGGGTCGGCGAGGACCATGTCTGGGTCATTAAGCATGTGCAGGCCGTCAAGAGTCAGTGGGTCTATTTTCAGATCATCCAGTGGGAACTGGGAGTCGATATCAAAACTGACATCTGTGGACAGAGAGCCGGTCAGGTCCTTGGGCAGGCTGGGGGGAGACTCTCCACTCACTGAACAGAAGAAAGGCAACACAGTTAAAGAAGGATTATCAGTTAAAGGCATAAGTACGTGGGTAATTATCAATGAGAGGGTTTCAACAGGCTGATAGAAAGCTGCTCGTTAAATTAGCACTCAGTGGAAGCAGGAAGAGACAAAAGGTGACAAATCTGTTATAATTAGATCAAAGCATGCTGTAAGAAGCTTGGCATCTTGTCATGTTAATTGTATATATTTTAGTGAAGAGGAAGGTAATAACTGACACTGCTGACTTTGACTGTGAGGCTTTAACATCCTTTTAATTATATTTCAACATGCTCATCCATAGATGTACAGGGATTAGGTTAAGTATTTGATCATGTGTTGCTTCTGTCACTAAGTGTGGATTTCTATATTAAAATATATTTTCTTAATGTACTCCCCCTTTGTTTAGGAGGTTAATTAAATTAAAAAATCACCAATGGTATCTCTTATCACTTTGCTGATCTTGTCCTGTATCTAGGTAACAAAGGTCTTCCAACTAAATATATCATCCTGCCTTCTTTATTGTCAAACATTTCACTTATTTAAATCGCTGACGTATTTAAAATGGAAACAATGGCACCTTTGTTCAGCACTCTGCAAATCAATTCATCTGACGCCATCCTAATGGCAACGCTAAAGAAATAAAAAGTAATTAGATAGAAATAATCAATCATGTTGCTGAAGGTCTTGTTTGCTTTTGTAAGTCATATAAAGACAGTATTCATTTCTGCCTTTTTCACAATCAGAAATACTTTATTAATCCATTTATAACCAGCTAAAAACTCCTCAGGTTTCTAATAATGCCTTGTTAAATTACTCTTGTGTGGACATACATGTATTAGGGATGCAATCATTCCCAATATAATATTGAACCGTTCTGTACAGCATCCACTGTTTAATAAGCGCTTATGAATTGCGGTTTTGCATACAACTAGTTTCCATGTATTCTATTTGTCTCTGAATTGGCTCAGTTTGTGTGTGCCTTTAAGTCCATGCGCTGGGATGAGGAAGCCCCTTCCTAATATCCAATCACTATGCACTAAAGTTGGGGGAAGCTGACAACACTGGTGTCAGATTACACACATAGAGTTAACAAAAAGTTAACTGTCTGCAAACAGACCACAGCAGGTTGTAATGTCACTAACATGAAGCTACTGTCTGGTGTCACACACAGCCACCAGCTGTTAACCTGCATGATGCAGACAGCCTGAGAGTGGACAGACAAAAGACAGAGCTGCCTTCTACAAACTGAGACTATACACCATAAACCAGGAATGTGTATTAATGGAGTATGTGTAATGAAGTTGTTTTGCTTAAAAGTAAAATAAAGAAATAGTTTTCCCATAACCCCTTGCTGTTCCTGTATAATCTGTCTTAAATTTAAAAGAATGGAATACCAAAAAAAAGCAATCCAACTGGCCGGGTCATCAGAACTGAACTGAAAACTGTGACCAAAAAACCGAGGTACATATTGAACCGTGGGCTGGTGGTATTGTTGCATTCCTAACATATACATATAGACATAAAGGTTGGGAAAATATCTATTTGATGGAAGCTTATAAATGTAGCCATGATTTGCACCCAATTCTCAAGTGTGAGATATATTAGCACTTTCAAAACACTTAATGATCACAAAAAAGGTTTTCCACACAAGCGTCTGCGTGCCACTATTCTCCTACAGCCGATCTCTGTTGGACTCAAACGAGCATCATGTTAATCGTAACAGCACCTGTGAGAATGATGTTGGGGATGTTTCCATGGCTACTGTAGCCCAGTTGCTGCGAGTCCTGCAGGCCGCAATGGCCACCAGTCAAACCCATCATGAGCGCCTGGGAGTAGTTGAGGGTGGAGGTATGGTTATACAGGCTGTCAGAGTTGATGGGAGTTTCTATCATGTTGAACTGCTCCAACTGCAAATCACAACGACGACAACAACAACACAGGTATGTCAGCTGTATCTCACATATAGTCACACTCCAGCAAAAGCAGGTTGATATAGGACAGTAAGTAAGTACCTGTTGTGAGAGCACACTAGCCTGAATAGACGGGAGCTGCTGGTCGTAAAAGTCTGCAAACACACTGCCCAGTATGGAGTTATGCTGCAACAACAAAAAGACCAAAAATGTTTATTTAGATTCTGGCAAAAAAAACAACCTAGTTAGGACAACCAACTATGTATAGTTGTTATCCTGTCTCTTTACATTTAACAGAAAATTGAAACTATGAAAAGGACACAGTCAGAGCACTGGAACAACAAAGTGACTCATATCACTTGAAATGTTGTGATTTGCCAATTTGCTCACATTTACTTAAACATCCAGCATTTTTTCTGTATATGAAAAATAATTCTATGTAATTTATATGGCGGACAGGAGAAAAGTTCTGTGCACTGACAAAGGATGGCAGTACACAAGTACGCAATCATGTCATAAAACACAGAATTCAGAAGAAAGGTCCGATTCTCAGGATTTTTATAGCAAAACGGAGACATGAAAAATTTGACGGACCAGCAAGGAATTTGTAGCTTTGTGTGTGTGTGTTAATTCTATCCTGCACTATATGGCAAATCATATTGATATGATACGTCAGCTAGTTTGAGGACACTTAAATTCCACATCAGTCGAATGTTTCTATCACTGAAGCATTATGAATTGCATTGCATGTAATTATAGGAAGCCTGCAAAAACATAAAGAAAGATATTTGGTTGGTTTTAACTAATTAAATAAAAGTGACTAAATAAAAGAATAGTCGAACAACTAAAATAAAAAAAAGAGACGTAACAATGTTACACATAAGAACAATTTTGTTTTGACTCCCAAAGGTCAGTGCTAACTAACAATGATAAATGGACATCCACCAAATGTTAAAAAAAAAACTGTTCTAGAGATAAGAAATGGGACTTTTAAGGGGACACTCGTTTAACAAGAGCCTCCCCTGCTGCCCTCTGATTTATGCCAACAAAATGGGATGAAATTCACATGAAATAAAGCGAATCATTGAAAATCGAATCCCCTTTGTGCTTTATTCTCCTCCACCGACTCGTCCAGTGCGAGCTAATTCTCTTCAAGTTTCTCATTTTGATGTTCTCATTGAACAGCAGCAGAAATTCTCCCGTTTCATCATGGCCTCTTAATGTATAAGTAATTGGATCATATTCTCAGCCTGTGCTCCTCCTCATTCAAAACCAAATTATCTGTGTGTGCTGCAGATGTCCCCACGGGGCCTAGCAGGAGAAGAGAGCACACAGCTTGTCAGTTGTGGTTTAGCCCTTGGATAACCTCGGGACTGAAAGTGAGCCAGCTTCAGCTCAGGAGAGAACGTAGCCGCAAACAGCAGGACAAACATAAAGGAAACGCACGCACACACACACGCACACACACACACACACACCATGTATCATTGCTGTCACCTTCCACATTTCTTTTTCTCTGCGTCTTTAACAAACAACATCACACTTCCGCTTCAGCAGAAGTAAATGCTGATTCAAAAAGCCACCTAAATCTTCTGTTAGGAAAATGCTTAACATATTTATCTGCATCATCTACAGTTACACGTGTGATTATGGTTTGATTCAAGGAATGAAAGCAGTAAATGATTAACTGCTTCTAAACGAGGGCTTCAAATCTCAAATACTTAGACTAAGTATTACAGATTGCCAACCCTGATCCATGTTTACTTTGGGTATGTTTCCTTTTTCTTAAAGCGTCACCCTGTAAGCTAAGGTCCAGCTTGTTGTGATGCAACGGTGTGTGTAATCATTCAGAAATGCCTCAAATCTCCATGCTTGCGCAAAACAACAAGAAACACAAAAATCTGATGAACACATAAAAAACCCACCAGAACAGAGTCTTATAAAGCTTTTTGGGGAACACAGTTGAGATGCAACGCAAAAACCATCAAAGCAGCAGTGAGGGAAGGTCAGGGACACAGCTACATAACAAAACACATCAACGACACTGAGTGTTTAAAGAGGCTGGTAGTCAGATCTGGGCAAAACAGGACCACTACTGCACCTCCAATTGTATTACACTCTATTCTGTAGTGGGATGACACAAGTTATAATTTTTTTTAAACCTTTACTTTACCAGGAATATTCCGATTTAGAAACAAACTATTGAAATATGGAGACCTTGTAAAGGTTGTTAAGGGACAAATGTAAGTATCACAAAGTGGTTTCTCCCAGTATGTTTTCTTAAAAAAAAAGCCTTCTTGAAAGAGCGAATCTTTAACTCACAGGTGAATCAATAACTATATTCATTAAGTGCTATCATTGTCACACTGGATGAAACCTTACCATAAAATAAATTAAAAACCTACAAACAAGCTAAGCTAATGTTAACAGAAGTTACATTTTTAACATCATTCTGCTTTTATTAGGATTACTGATTGTAGTGTCTGGATCACAACTCTGACCTGACTCAAACACCTGTAGAGTTCACGCTGCGTTAAAATGTTAGCGGTGAATAGTTTGACTTTATTTCACATCAGGAGATCCTCTTATTAGCATGTCGTTTGCCCTTTCCTTACCAACACATACATATAGAGGCAAATAAAATTAAATGAAGAGGTAGAATAAAAACTATAACATTTACTTGAAGTGAAAAAATAATGAGTGAATGAATTGTTTGTCTTGCTAAAACGTTAAAAATCTTTGCCCAGATCTGCTGATATCAACACAATACAAGCAGCCGTGTGGGGGGGTGGGGGGGTGGGGGGTGGGGTCCTACTCTGCAACATTAACCACAGACTACAGAGCAGGGGACGGTGATATTTATACAGAGCTAGCCAGAAGCTCACTGGTTCACACGCCCTTACTTGAGGCGAGCCTCCAGGAGAGAAGCCTTGATTGGAGACTGGGGAGGTTGGAGACTGATTTGCAGAGGATCCGACCCTACTGCGGTACTGTTGGAGGGAGGAGGCCTGATACAAGAGGATACGTTTGAGTTATTCACATCTAAGACCAACTAATGTGTGTGTTCTGGGCCTAGATATGGAGCTTTGTTATGTGTATTTCTGACGCTTGTCTTATTGAAGACTATTCATTTAAGCTTTGGTGGACTGAGAATTTACCGAAGGATGTACTCCATTTCTGGAATACAATTGAATTATTTAAAGCAATGAACATTATGTGCAATGTCACATCAATGCATTAAAAAGGCTGAAAAAGATATGTGAGAAACAGAGAAAACAACAAGGGATTAATTAGAGGAGAAAATATGTTGCCAGCAATCTAAGCTGAGCGACTCAGTGTTGTAAAACTGGAGGATCAGAGAAAACCAATCTGTTCTCTTTTGTTCTGTTCTCTTCTATCTGCTCTTTAATATTCACTTATTCAAAGACATCAAAGGAGGAATGTGTGTACAGAACAGAACAAATATTTCTATTGAGACTAACTCTATGGGGACACAGTTGTGTGTTTAACTTCTCATTACCCAAAGCCAACAGGAGTTCAAACCTTCTCAATCACAATCTATAGACAGATACGTTATCAAACTAACGGTCACATATGATAAAGACTAGATAAAGCAGTTCAAGGTAGCTATATAAAAGAATTCAATAATTAATTCTCAAACAGATCCGTCAGAACTCACAAGACCAGCTGTAGCTTGGAACCAAAATTTTACAGATTGGAAATGTCCAGAAATTAGTCAGATATCTGAAAACATATCTGAAAACAAACTTTAAATATACTAGAGAGCAATAAATGAGATTTATATTGGCCGTTAACAGACAGGGAGTTCTAAACTGTGTCTCCAGAGCATGTTTCACTTGACCTCACACTGAAAGTCTCTATCTGAGACCATGCAAATGTAGGCCACTTCATGTGTGCAGTTATCCAAACATATTCCCACTGCAACAGAAGTAGAGCAGCCAGAGCTGAGTTTTGCACATTTTTTTTTGAAACCTTCATCTCATGCATTCCATTATGTTTTATCTTATTTCGGTACAAAAAAAAAAGAAATGTATGGCATTTAATATCATTTCTGTGAAGCATTTGTTTCTAAGTTTCAATTTCAAGTCCAATTGTTTGGCCATACACACTTTCTATACAGTACCAGAGATGACAGATATGACATTTTACAAGTAGATCCTGATATTGATTTTAGAGAGGAAAATTTCCCCTATAACTAATATGGCTGCTGTTTTATTGTAAATTTGAGGTGGAATAAAACCAGACATCATTATTAGTATTTTCGCACCTCAAATTCAAGCAAATAACCATTCAAAATAACACAGAAGTCAAGTTTCTTAAACAAATATCTTAATTTACCGAAACATTATTTTCTGCTTTTTATGATGTGCAAAAAGCAGTTTTCATATTGACTATTGGAAAACATATACGTCTATACTAATTAATCTGTAATAGGCTGTTATTTGATGATTTTATCACCCAACAGATATTTGGTTTGGTTCTAGACATTTTTGTTGTTGTTCTAGTAATCACTGTAATTCACAACTTCATATCACAGCAACATGTGCAAAACAAAGGAGTTACTACTGTAACCAGGCGGCCACAGAATGACACCATCTAAAAGCCTATTTCCAGGAAAGAAAAGATCGAGATGTCATCACTGTACCACTGTTACAACACCACAGCTAGATACACTGATGTGTCCCCAGCTTACCGTATTCATGTCGATGGTCATGTTGGTTTGCGAGGACTGATTGTCTGATGTGGAGCAGGAGTTCACCGAGGACGACAGCTGGACCAGACCTGTCTGCTTGAAAACAGACAGAGTGGAGTCATAAATCAACAAAGATATATGTGGTTCAAAAGAAACACTATTCTAAAACGTCTCATTACAGACTAAGAATATCAGGATCAGTTTTAATAGTTTGTAGGCAGAAATGTAAAAAGAAGAGAGCAGTGAATAAATGGCAGAGGCTGGGAATGTAAATTAGGAAATTACAATATCATTAACATTTTATCATTTTAAATATTCAGTTCAACATTATTTTATTATTATGCTGTGGTTGTTGAATGTTTGCTACCCTACACATTTTGAGCATGTGTTTTTCACAACCCTTTATAAATACATTTAGAATCCTGTCTAGATTTGTTGCCCAAATTCATTTTAATATCGCAATAAATATACAATGTCATTTTTTCCTTATATGTTCAATATAAACAACAATATACAAAGAAATATCATTAGTCAGAATAAGACTTGAAAGAGGTCTCATGTTTTACTAATAAAGTAGTAAAATCAGGTTTAAATTATGAATGAACTGCTGCAGAGCAAATCTATATCAAATGTTTTTTCTTTATTATGAAGTGACGATGCAAGACAAGAGGAGAGTTTCAGTGTGCTGGGCCAAACTACTGGATTTAGCTGCTAAAATATATATATATTTCTTTTTTATATTTTCGGATTTCCCTTTTTCTGATGGGAACCCTGAAACCTGTATAATCTCTGTGGCTCAACTGTAGTTAAACAACAAACCTGTCTAAAAGACAAATGGCCGAGGCCTGTGCCCAGTTGGTAGTAATATATTAAGCCAATTGAAAAAAGTAACCACACTCAATTAAAAAAAGGACAAAATAAATAAATGTCTAGGACCACATCATCTTCACTAACAGAAAAAGAGTGCGTTTATAAAGTCAGATGATGATCTATAGTCATCAGGATGATGAAAAAAGATTTTAAAAGATATTTGGCTTAATAAAGTTCTTAAGGTATTAACAATCATCCACTTCGAGGGCCACGAGCTAATATATTGAATTTGAATTGAATAAATTATTTTGATTACATTTCCTTGTCTAATAAAACAAATTATTCTTAAGATTTAGCTACTACAGGTTGTTTGGTTTTTTTGCACAAATATTGTTTTGAATTCACAGATAAGTTGAAGTCTCATGGCTTCACTGCTGGACTAATAATGGGAAAAAAAATCAGGACTCACTTGCTGGTTTTGGTGGGTCTGGGACGACGGCTGCTGGTTGAAGAAGGCATACTGGGACAGCTGTTGCTCGAGGTTCATGGCGTTGATGGCCGCCTGGGGGAAGCACAGCAACAGATACTTCAATACTCAATGAATTAGAGTTAATTATTTAAGACCTTATTAATATTAAGTTGTTCACTCTGGGCTTTCTTTACACCACAAACATACAGTAACCTCATAAAATTGACACAACAAAATGTGAACTAATGAGATGTGCCTTCAAAAAATAAATCAACAATTCAATAATCCATTAGACTTGAATGTCTGATCTTCCTGACACAACAGAGGTCATGGCAGAGAGCGGGGCCGTACCTGAGACAAGAAAGAGGAGGAGATGTCGGGGAGAGCTGCAAGCTCTGAGGCTGGTGGGAGTCTCCTGCATTCAGGATGAGAGGGACCATGTTGTCCTGCCCTGGCTGCATTTCCATGGTTACTGTGGGCTGAGATGTGCTCACTCCTACCCAGCACACAAACACACACAAAAGACAGCATGAGGAAGAGTTTTTTAAGAGCAAAAACAGTGTCTTCAAGAATTGGAACCAGAGAGTGCTACATGTTTATTTTAAAGTCAAAAATATCCTGGAAAAACTCAGTTATAAGGAAAGTTACAAGTTCTGAACAAACCACCGTCTGTAGAGTAACCTTGAGTGTTCGCCAGGTTCTGCATGCTGTTGGAGGAGCAGAACGAGGCGACCACAGCATCGTCTGAGTCGAGTGGGGTGGGCAGAGGAGGAGGAAACTGGATGTTGGTCAGATCAGGAAGAGAACCGCCGGTGTTGTGGACTGCTGGTTTTAGTGAAGCTGTCAACTGCTGGTCCGGAGATGGGAAGATGCTGCAGGAAACAAGACAGTGGAGGAGCTCAACAGAGACAACAGAGCTAGTACACAAGAAGGAAAAACAAACTGGATGACTTCTGGATTTGCATCTTTTCATTTCAAACAAAATTAATCAAATATATTTGGACTTAATGCATTTTGCACATGCCATTTGTGACTTTTTACTTAGGCCACTAAATGAATAAATAAACATTTTACCTAATTTCAATCAATTTCAGATGGCTTCAGTTTAAATATTTTTTTAATGATATATATTTACCAGATGTGTGGAAAAGATTTTATCTTCTTGTACATCCAGGGGGAAAACAGTTTCATCAAATGCTGATTCTAACCTGAACTCAGAGTTGAATTATCCTCTGAGTTTTAACGGTTTCAGAGCAGCATCATGACTGATTCACCATGGCAACAGGTGACAAAAAGAGGTCTTCATACTTTAAACCCGGAGTTTCCCTCATTTCAGGGTTAACAGACTCATGGTTTGCAGTAAACCTGCTTTCTGAAATAGGCCTCCGGAAGATAACTTCAGACCAGTTCTACACATGTAAACCAGTAAAATACTCACTTGATCCCTGGAACTTTGCAGAGTTTAGACCTTGAAATGTTCTGAAATGGGAAAGGAAAAAAAAATTGTCGGAACTGTTTCAAAAAGACAAAAAAATAAAAAAATGTATGTTTGACTGCAGAAGTTGCACCTTTCTGCACTCCCAGTTCTGTTCTTGGCCATCATCATCAACCTCTCCTTTAATGGCTTCAGCTCCTGGTACAGTGAGCAGGAGAACTAGAGACATGAAGAAAGAGTGAAAAAAAATCACAAGTCTATCTGGTTTACAGATGTCCAGTCTGTTTCAGCTTTTAATAATCAGTCTTAATGCCCCTGTTTTATTTGATCACAAGCGAAAAGACGTAAGGAGGACAATCACCAGTAATAGCTAGGAAGAAAAAAACAAACAGGACAAGAAAGATAAGAAAGTAAAAACAAATACAAACTGACTGACTATTGAGTGCAAAACCACTAATTATCAATATAGGGAAATTATTCAAATTCAACTGAAGCGCTTCTGAAATTAAAATAATCCGCCTCACGAGGCTGTCAGAAGTCACATTCATCAGACACTCGGATGCACTCCTTCTTCCCAGCAGTCATTTTCCCCCCTGCCTTCAAAGCCAAATTCAAATCCCTTTCATCACACACTGGAGGGCACTCGACTCAGCTGCCAAGAGATGCAGCAAAATAACACAAAAAAAAAAGAGGCTTAGGACAAAACAGCCCAAACCGGCACCCTCATATACTGTAGATAAGAAGTATTAAAACACCCGTGCTGCCTTAACTCAATTAACAGCTCGGATTATACAATAAGTAATAACTAGATAATATATGAGCTTACTGTTAAACAGTTTCACACTTATCTCAATTTACTTCTCTCTGTACTGAATGTTTTTATATTACTGAGATCTGAGCTTAATAAAAGTATGAACAAACAACTTTTAGATAACATTTAGATAATGTATACCTCTTTTGGGCTGGAGCTCCTGTGACCCTCCAATGAAAGAGGCCTGCTGGGCAGGAATTAATGTGCTCTGGTGCAGTGCTGAGTCAGAGTTTGTCCTGTAAGATATATTAAAAAAAAAAAAGAAAATCACACATTCTTACACTTTTATAGAAAAGTGTAAGAAAACAATTCTCCTCAATGCCCTTAAGACAGCCTACATGCCCCTCCTCGAAACACAAAAAGATACTCCAGCTTCGTAATTCCTTCAGCTATCATGCTGTTAAATGCTGACAGCTGAAATGTAAGGTGTTTTCATTTACTCATTTATTTAATTATTACTACATTTTTTGGAGTTAAATTTCTATGATCAGGCTTCTCACTGTCGTCATTGACAAACGAATGTAAATGTCTTAATGCTGCTGTGACTGCATTTGTTTCCTTATCATATGCTTGGTACGCTGTCAAACTAAATTGCCTTTTTAAAATAAAGTTATCCAAAATGCTGAGACTGATCTGTTTTCATTGTCAGTTTAAAAAGTATTGTGTCATGTTCCTTGATTTTCTCTTGTCCAGATCAGACACTGCCTCTTCATTTACAGAAAATAACGCAATACAAGCAGAGTAAAGCAGAGGGGTACAAGTCAGAATCATTCGTTGAGGACTGCGTCAACACTGAGAGTAAACATTGAGATAAACAGTCATGCAGAGCTGGTGTTTCCTCCTCTGAGGATGTCTTACCTCCTCCAGCTAGTATCAGGTGGTGGTGACAGATAAACCGCGCCATATGGACAGCTGTCAATGTGAGACATAGGTTAAGAAAATACAGCTGGAGAGAGAACGTCTTGGCAGATTTGATGCATTCTTTGCTTTGTATTCTTCTAAAAACAACGTGTTTTAGAGAAGTAATAAACTGCAAGCGTCACGTTACAGTTTGACATTTGTCAGGAATAAATCTGCCATATCACTACGCAGATCCGTTAGTCTGTCCTTCTGTGCTATTCTTTATGTTTTAACCATTGTAAAGTGTCTTTGAGTTTTTAAAAGCGCTTATAAATAAAATGCATTATTATTATTATTATTATTATTAGATGTTCTGAACATATAAAATGGGTATCAGACTGATTACAGGCAAAAGCTATTAACAATGTAGTTTTACACTGAAAAACAAGCAAACAAATGATTCTAAAGCTACAGGAACATCTGCAACATCCTCACGTTCCTCCACATAAAGGCAGGGGTTCCCAAACTTTGCCATGCCAAGGACCCCCATACAGCATATTGCATAATTTCTTAAATTCCTTGTACATTACGATAGCATATACCAAATCAGACATACAACTTCTTAATATGTCTCCTTATTTTTATAAACAGTGATCTTGTTATTCATCCATTTCATTCACAAGGTCTGTTTAAATTGAAAGATCTGAATAGAAAATGAACACATCGATTTTAATATGCAGTGATTACTAACATCTACAAAGACATATATTATTATGTTTTGTCATAAATAATGTTATTATAATTTAAATAGTTTTCCAATTACCCTCCCCCCCCTTCTCTCAAAGTTCACATGATCCCCTAGTGCCCCCCTGGGGACCCTGCAGGGGGCTGGGACCCCCACTTTGAGTAACCAAAGTACTATAGTCTAAAAATAGATGTAAGATTAATATAACGAGAGAATTTGTTTTGCCACATAATCCTGCTTGGTCAAATGTTGCACAATCAAGTTTCTTATGATAAACGTTTTTTTAAGCTGTATTTTGTGGATCTTTTGATCTGGTGTTTACGGGGATAGAACATATATCTCCATATTTCACAATAACAAGAAACAATTCTATAGCACTACAAACTGCAGAGCAGCTTCCTGAATATATCAAACATGTCGTTCCAGAAAAACTTTTCAAACAACAGCAAAACTGTGTCAACTCTGGGCTTCAGAGAGAAACTCTGAAAACACAAAATGAAACAATATCTACTTGAGCAGAAAACAAACAGTCTGAAAGGATATCTGGCGTCCATGTTTGTCAAAAGACAACGGCTTTCTGTGCGGCGATGTGATCCGGTTCCGGTCCCTGTAGACTCTGTCCACCAAGCCGTGGTGTCGCGTCGACCTGTTCGTGTCCAGCCCTGAAGTCTGACAAACAAGACAGAACAGAATCATAAATATCTCAATCTGTTGTCAGTTTTTGTTGAGGATGTCTGTAACCAATCCATAAAACTTTGAAAAGGATATGCATCCCATATTTAACAGTCATGAATCTGAGATGCAAACCAAACTCAAAACCTTAAAAATGTTATAGTCATTATTTTATCATGAATCTATCTTGTACTAGATCTAGCTACACAGCTTCACTGTTCTTTGACTACAATGACAAACATCACCTGTATGTTATCAGGTATGAAAGTTAAAGGGGCTCAGAGCAAACATGACATCAGCTCCTCTGAAAAAACAAAAAGTAGTCGATCTGTAAAGTATCTGTTTTGTTGGGGGAACTGATTCTTGATGGTGAAGCAGCAGTGCTAACTCCCACAGTCTTCTGCCTGTACTCTTCTGGTTAGGGTGGTTGTCAATTGGAGGGTTTTAGTCTTGACTCCAAAACTCCTTCCCACGGATTCTTGTTTTGTTTTTTTCACACAGATGAACTAAGAGTGTAATAGAGCTATTGACATCACATAACAGATCCAGTTTTTCCTCATTAAGTTGTTTTTCTTTTCCCACACATGAGATTTATAACTCTGCGATTCATTTTCTAATTCAACGTTAAGCTGAATTGGCAGGAACAACTTAACCAAAGAAGAGATACTCAAGTATTAAACACTTAATTAAGTGTCCAAATTTATCTTAAACCAATTTTAAGAGGGGCTTTGACAATACATTTAAAGTTAGGACATAGTCCAGGAATAATGTAACAATGATTATATTTTGAAAACAGTTGTCTTATTTTCATAAAACAGGACCTATTAATGTCACTTCAACATATTACACAATACTTTACTCCATTTTTACTCCATTTAATAAAATTCATTACCTTGCAAGAGTAAATTTCCCCCCACAATTTCACTTATTTGTTTTCCGAAACAAGATCGGTTGAAAACCATTGTTAACTTCTGTCTTTTGAACTACAGCCTTCTCTGCTGTTGTATTAAAGGGATACTTCACCCATTTGCATTAAGCTTTGTATCATTAGAAACCTGGTAGTATTTTTGAATGGTCGTGCATCCAGCCCTCATTTTTCCCTGAGATTGGAAATCTTTGTATTCTAAGTCTGAAAAGAACCTTCCAGTGACGCAAAATGACGATTTTTGCGTCACTGGAAACTGTTGCAGTTAGCGGGGTAAAACTACAACGCTAGTTCCTCATATTTTCGACCACTAAAGCTACAGACCTATCACAGATCAGTGGGTGGGAACTCATTCCCAGAATCGAAACCTAACGTCCGCCATATTGCTTGGATGCTATGCTAACAGGCTCTATGGAGAAAGCTGATAATGGCGAAAAAATATAAATATGGCCGCTGGCCACCGGGGCCACTGCAACACAAGACCGGCCTGTTGGCAGCGACCGTCTCACGGCTATATTGCTATATTGCAGGCGGTGAGGTCGAGGAGCCCGGGCCGGCTCGAGTCGGGGTAGACTGGTAGTGTTGTTTCTCTCACTGTTTGCCTATGGACACAGACATAGAGTCTGTTTTCTGCCAGGAATTTCCAAGATCATTTCTGGAAGAAATCTCTGAATCAGTTGAGGAAATGGCCTCGTGTCTGTAAATGTTTTTATTACTATATTTCTACTGCTGTATGTTATATGTTGGAGAAACTGTAACGATCGAATTTCCCTCTGGGATTAATAAAGTATTTCTGATTCTGAAATAAAGGACCTTAGTGGGAGTAGCCTGCGATGCTGTGCATTCTGGGATTTGGTGTCTTTCATCCACATGAGCCAAAAAGACACTTTCTGCCTTTTCTCGGCCAAGAAGGCACCAACTTCAAAATTGATTTCACATTTCTACTACATATATGACCCAATGTCAATACAGATTCATGTTTCAACGGGTGAAGTATCCCTTTTAATATTCACACTGGTTAATATCGTTGATACACAGCAATATGAAATAGAGACGCAATGATTGGGAAAATCAGGGCCGATACAGATGTTTAAAATAACAATTAAACCAATTGCAGATTCCAATACAGATGGTTTTTTTTTCATTTAACTTTTTGTGATACATCATGTCTGTTTTTCAAATGATCTGAGACTTGTTGTCAGCAGTCCCTCCTCTTGAGATGTCACTGGAACATGTCTGGCAAACTGCATGTCGCTGAGATTATCCAGAAGACTCCCAAACTGCTGCGGACACTTTTAGTTTGTCCGACAGATGAATTCTTCTGCCCAAATAAAAAACTTTTATCTGAATAAGCAGTTAGGTATTCTAGCTTGCCAGACTTAAATTGATGCGACACAACAGATCAATTAATGACATCGTTGATTGGCATCTTTTTGCCTGAGGGCCATTGTCTTTCAGCAGGGCCAATATCAGCCAATACAAACGTCCAACTGATACATCTGTGTGTCCCTAATAAATACAGTTCAACTGTATGGCTTAATTCTCTTTCTGGAAATATTGTTTAAGAAAGATGTATTTGAGACACAGCTCTGGTATTCATGTTGAGGTCTAAATGGGAGAGTGTGCTTCTACATAGTATAGTAAAACACACTCATGTAGCCTGTGGGTTGGTATATTTGCTTCCTCTATTTATTGTAAACAGTGTGCTCTTTTTGCTTATGTAAACAGTTTATATGTCACTTCTTGTGGAGCAAAGCATTCATCCCAGGAAACAAGGATTTCACAGTGACTTTTTATAGATCTGCCACAGGTGGAATCAATATTGCAGGATATTACTTGGCCACAGAGACGGCACAAATATATTCATCTATAAGAAACAGCTGTAAAATCAATCCTGGTATGAATAAAAGTTAAATCACCAAGATTGAGTGAAAATGTCCTTTACTCCATAGATAAGCTTTTTGAATTGCTGAAATCCCTCACCTGAAAAGTCATATCCATGCTGCTGTTTCCAATCTGGTTGACATTTGGCAAAGATCCTCCATAGTACTGTCCACGGTTTTGTCCCAGCTGCAAGTACTGAGTCTTCTGCAGCTGTAGCTGGAAGTCAAACGACAGCAAGTAAGACAACTGGCGGTTTGAATGGAAGTTTGCATTCACAGCAACGTCCGGCTCACAACTCTGAACAAGATACGATCACAACAACAACCTGGCAATAAACATGATATAATATTATAAATGAAAACAGTTCAGTTTCATCTCCTGCAAAGACATTTATCCGAAAAGGGAAATGTATGAACTTATTGTATGTATCCAAGCTTACTCCATCCCCTACTGTATGAAGTGTTACAATGTAAGCGTCCAACAGATAGAGTTTTTCTTTATTAAACATTTAACGGGCTAAATACAAAACCTTCACTGATTTGAAATCCCAGAAGTGAACAATACCACATTAATCATGATATGAATGAGACATTTGTTTTGGAAGGCCGCTATATTTGAGTTCATGATCAGAGCAGTGCACAGAGAGTTTAAAAACATTTTTATGTGCAGAGATTGTAGGAAACTGAAGGAGGAAACAAAAGCAAATGATCTAACTGGTTGGATTTCGGAAAAAGCAAACTCCCTTAAGCTTCACGGCAGTGTTAAGAACGACCTCCAGTCCCATTTGCCATTAGAGAGCCAGTAACCAGTCAATTACATTTTCTAATTCAAGCCCATTGCTCACTGATGGCAGAGCAGAAAATCTAATAACAACAATGACTACGTCTGTTTCACTTTTGTATTTTGACAAGTGCCTGATCTCAGTTTGTTTTTTTAATACATGCCGTACGCATACTCTGTTCACAAAGGATAACATACCATAGTGTAACATTACGAGACCAGCAGGAGGTCAGTCTAAGATATTTTTTTTTTTTTTGCCACAGATAAACTGAGCAGAGCAAAGAGAGGAAACAGCAGAGAGGCGCTGAAGGGGACCATGAGGGGACAGGGCCAAAAGGATGAAACTCTAAACCTGAAGTCACTTCCCAAGTGACTTTGGCTAAGACAAGGCCTCACTTTAAAAAAAGAAAGCCACAGGCTGAAAAATAGACTAACATGTATAGCCTTCATGGTTATTTCTTCGGAAAATTCCAGCAAACAATCCTAAATAATCCGATTTTCTTTAGATTTTAGTTAGTTATCATGCAGGAAAAATCTTATCCTCTGCTAAATCTTCATAAACCTGCTTAACAGCAGAAATGTACAATTGTAATCAAAAACAAAAGCACAGGTGTTTCTGATAACATTAAAGATATATCTATTGTATTCACAACAACATGACAGGGAAATTCAAGTGGCAAAATATCATTCAGGCATGATTAATTTGATTACACCTGTGTCTTTCTTTTATGTCACTCAATGTGTAGACAACTCTGTGGAAGGTATAATTCAAGTTTCTTTAAATATTCTTTTTTGGCCCTGAATCTAAAAAAAAAAATCAGTTCAAACAGCTACATTGAGAATAATCCTGTAGTGGCTTGATGCCACTGGATGACAACGTGGATATATAATCGAAAAGGATAATTAAAGGCAAGTTCCTCTTCGATTCTAGCCTCCAGATAGTTATACAATACAACAAACACTGTAGTGAGCTAGCTCCCCGTTTACCTTGTAGTAAACCATAGTCCTTCCACGCATTATGGCATTATTTTGGAGGCCTGTGTTGTGTGTGTGTGTGTGTGTGTGTGTGGTTTAGATTCCTCATAATCTGCTTCTGTTCATCTTTGGTGTAAATGTCTTTTAAGCAGCAGAGCAAACAGGCCTGAAGACCAGTCAGACAAGTTTACAGAGCCATGATGCAAACACACCTCGCTACATATCACTAACACACAAACAACACTCATGACCAATTCTTCAACACTGGCAAATACATTATCCTTTTTTTTTTAGCAGTGTTTCTAGAGCACGAGACGAGGAGAAAATAATCGCTGCAGTTGAACTCGCGCTGTCAAACACGCGCGCACGCCCCTTTGCTTTCACTCGCGTGGGACAAAAACATGGAAATAACTTTTTCCGACGAGGGTCCTTGTCGTTAATATATCTACACTACAGGACTGTTACATCCCACAAGATGTGCTCGGTGACAACCGCGGGAGAGAAAAGGCTCCAGCTGGCAGGACGCGTCGTTTGTTATTGTTTACCTCCTGCAGCTGCCGCGCGCGCTACTAATGCATATTTGACAGCTCGCAGAAAACAAACGAAGAAGAGGTGGGGTGTAAAAAAAGACATGAAAACGGGTTGGTTACCCTCGCTGCCCTGGTTATGCTGAGGTCTTTCATCACTTCTTCGAACGCGGCTGTCTCCTCCGCCTGCTTCTGGTTATGTAAAGCGATTTTCTCGCTGAATTTCCGCGGATTGTTCGAAGTCGCCATGTTTCGCTCTTCTGCTCCGTTTTTCACTCAGCGGCCAGAGCAAAGCGACCCCGAGTGACGACAAGCGACTTCCGGTTAGAGACCCGGAATGACCTTCAGAATAAGTGCAGTTCAAAGTAGCCTTATGTGAGCTATAAAGTAGAGTAGAGTTGGGCTATTTAGCAGAAAGATTCACACTCCATTGGAGGTAGGCTTATTTGCTATAAAGTTCTGTGTCGATCTGTTCTCCCGACCATCAAGTTAGCCTACCTGTCTGGTTTGATTTTGTTTTTTTGTTTTTACCTTTTTTGTTTGCAGAACACATGTCTTGATCTGCACAAACTGGTTTGCAGGAAATTACATAATACATTTATTTTACGTTTGATTTGTGAAACTAGTGAGAATTGTGTTTGGTTAACAAAATGATCAGGGGACCTTTTGTAATGCCCTGTCACACCAAATGAAAAACAGGCTAAGCTAATTTCATAAGGTGTCCCAGTTAACTTTTCGAGTTAGAAGGCATATAGGCTACAACCAAACAACAGAGTAGGCCCTTACTAGGCTGTTTAATGTAGATACTTTGAACTATTTCACATTTACAAGTGCCTATCATTTTTTTATTTTTTTTAGTTAGCCTCCTAAGTAGCCTATTCCTATCTGTGAAGCTATAAATGGGTTCGAAACAAATGTTCTCCTGCAACCGATCATTTTTCTGTCAGATTTGTTTCAATGCAGCTTGCCAAAAGCATTTCTTCACTTGAAATTTTAGCGTTTGTTGCGTCAAGGCTTTTATTTTGAAGGTAAAATCGTCTAGTGTCTGGTATGCACATACAATTTGTTGGGCGACTTGACGCAGCCTCGGTGAGGACGTGCGTGCTCACGTCGCTGCGCGGGGGTGTAGTGGAGGCGCAGCGCACATCTGGACTGCGGAATAAACTCATGTTTTACCTTTTCAAGAAAATACGGGTTTTACATTCACCTTTTAATTGGAATATGTCTGAATATAACCATTTATTTTTATTCAGCAGTATTCTGCAGGCCACTGACGTAATAGACTCCCAATTTTAAAAAATAGTCCATCGTTTCCTAGTTGATAGGCTACTCCTAAACTAACTTACTTGCTTTTTTTTTCACTAAAAATAATTTTAAATAAAATTCCCTCCTTGCCTGTGCTGTCTTAAATGTACATGACATGAAACCTTGGGCCGGTAAGTGGCAGTGTGTCCCCTCTGGAGTTGTATGTGCACCCCTGCTGCTGACTGAGGATAAATACTGTCATAACAGTACACCCCCCCCCCCCCCCCCCCTCCACTCCAGCTCAATGGACTTAAAAGGTGAATGAACTGCACACTGCAGTCAAGATTTAACTTGATTCGTGATTTCACAAATGAGCCAGTCAGAGAGAGTGATGGGGTGGTTTTACCACCATGTGTTAGCAAAGCCTTTCCCCTTGTGCATTATATTATAAATGTGGAAAAAAAGACCTTTTGTGCTTGTTCGTACTTGCCTCTTGACAGCAATGGGCGTTTCACTTTTACAATTACTGCTGAAGCAGCTAAAAGAGCAACTGCACAAACAACAACAGGAGGCATATATGATCTATATTTATAGTGATCCTGCTCAACAAAAACCCACATACACCACCAAATTCATTAGAAGCATCTTGAGTGTCGGTGTTGCTGAGAATCCAAACACCAACCAGATCATTATTGGTCCTTTTTTTTTTTGTTCTACAGGCAATGAAGGCACAGTGGAGCTGTTTCACCTGCTATTAAGGAGAGTGTAATTTGGTTGTAAAGTTACCATAGTAACATAGCGAAAGAAGAGACAGGGTAGGTGGAGAGACGTAGTGTGTGCACAGGATTACTGCTGAATAAGCCTCCAGGGAGGGGAAACCTTGAAGGTGAGTTTGTTTATAAGGGCCTGTAAAAAGAAGGAACCCCATCTGTGGAGCAGGATTCCTTTATGCAGCTGTTCTTAATCAGGAATTTGTCATGTTTGTCTTACATGTAAACATGCTGCACTAACATTTGCCACTCAGCAATTACAGTAGAAACATTTGAGAGGCCTCAACATTTCACTTCACTTTATCTGTTCTATCTGAGAGTCTGGATGACTACTTTTTCAGTTTTGAACCACTAGACCACAAGACTAAGTGATTGACAGAAGGTTGTTGGAATAATAACAGATGCTGTATTCCTGTTAGAGTTAATGTGTAAAGCCTTTAACACATATAGCCTGTTGTTTGATAAGTTTGAGCCATTAATGTGACTATTGTCCATAGTAAATTTCTATTTCCACTTTGATTAAGGTGTTTTATTTTCTATGTTGAAAATAGGATAAGAGTGACAGTAACAGCAGGGGGAGGTAAAGATGCTGTTCGATAAGAAACCAAACCAGCGAAAGTGTGTGTGAGTGTGACTTGAACGGTACTAAAATAGAACTGTTACATTATCGCAGCAGTAATATTAAAACAGACTGTAAGTAGAGGTAATACGGCCTTTTTTTCTACATAAAAAAAGGATTTGCTTCTGGTATTTAAAAGTATATTTTGCTGATCAAACTAACATGAACTTAGAGTCTCAAAAGTAGAACTTTCGCCCGCCTGAAGTACTTGTGGTAGTTTGACTTGAGAAGCTGAACATTTTCCCACCGCAGAGTTAAAATTAACTGTTCGATCAGCAGTTGTTTATTTGAAGCACTTTTACAGGAAACTTCAGGTTTCAGCTCTTGTGTCGGCCAGTTCCATGATTTCAACAAAAAGGGAAGTTCACTGTTGCGAGTGCTGGAGAGAACTTCTTGACTTCATACACGAAACAGACCTTGACCCACATCGCAGGAGCTTTGATGGTAAGACAACTGTTCCTTTTGACCTTCACTGTGACAGGAAAGGGTTTGATTTGGCTCATATATTATTTTACTGCTGTTCCAGGAATGTAGTGTCATTTATTTTTTTACATCTTTTTATTGACGTTGTCTTTTCTGTTTTTATTGACGTTGTCTTTTCTGTTTTTATTTCTGAACACTTTAAATATATCATTGAATTGTAACTGATATGCATACAGGACATTTTATTATTGTAGAGGCCCTTTAAATAGGAGTAAACTATAAAAAGTGGAAAACTATTTGAATAAGTAGCCGCAAATTGAATGGTACTTAAGGTTCAACAAAAGAATGTAGGTAATAAGTTTAACTCTGTGGTTTTCTTGCAGATCATGTCTGTCAACAACACTTGTGTCACTGGAAATGGCACAACGTCATGTTCTCCCCGCGGCACCTCTGCAGGTCTGGCTTCAGGTCTGACCATCTTCTTCTTACTGCTCGTGGTCGCAGCTTGTTTAATCGTGTGGAAATACCAGAGCACAATCAGGTATACGTTTCAGTCCTGGCAAAGAAGAAGTGTGAAGAAGGAAGAATATACTGAGACACCACAAGCTGATCCGCGTCCGAATAGCTATGTAAGCACAGAACAGATGACAGGACAGACCCCGATCTATGAAAACCTGATGACTACAAGCAACAAGCAGCCAGCAAAACCGAGAAGGTAAGCGTTTATTTCAAGAGCATCTCTTTCTCAAGCAGCGTTACATTTTTAGACGAAATTTGAGCAAATGTTGAAGCTGAAAAGAGATCAGGACGGAAGCAGATGATGAAACATTGTGGTTATGTTGTCAATTTCCCCATTTTGCACAATTCAGCTGTATTAAACATGCAGATTTGGGTGGCATCTGGAGAGGATCTCTCGTTCTGTTCTTCTCTGGGGATTAAAGTGTTTTCATAAAACGTGCCAGCTGATGACTCAGTGTGGACTTTCTCCTTTGAGCAACATTAGAAGTCCACAAAGTTTACACAATCTTTGTCTCTTTTCACGACGTGTTTCGCATCAGAAACAATTCCCCTCTGAACATTTTCTATTAACACTCATTGTTTCTCTGCAGGTCGCCCAGAGGGCCCGAGGAGGATTTGTACCTGCAGTGTGACGTACCAGATGATGTAATCTACAGCAACGATCCGGCCTGTAACCTCTCCCTCCTCCCGGACACCCCAGAAGAAGACGTGTATATTGTACCAGATGCTTTATAGGACAAATCTCTATTCAAATACTATCACTCCGTTGACTGAGAGGATTAAATGTACATTTTAACAAGGTGACCATGTTGCCTTATAATAATGGAGTGACTGTAGTGGCTTCAGTACAACAATACACAATGTTTTATGATGTCATTGTTGAACATTAGATGTACAGTTAGGTGAAGTGGATTAGTATTATTGGTGTAGATGTTCTTTTAAGTTTGTTTTTCAGCTTTCATTGCCATGGCTTTTGGCACATTGCGTTATTACTCCAAATATGTCATCATTCTGCTGCCGGTTTTTGTAATCACAAAGTTTGCATGTGGCCCTCTGCTAGAAACATTTCTGCAGCATGTAAAGTTATTATTACCTGTGTGGGTTAAAATAAATTGAAAGAAAACATGTTTTAAACAGGGTTGCATGGTGTTAGCAGCTGATGCCTCCCAGCGAGAAGGTTCCCACTGTGACAAAGACATATTGGTTAAATGATGACTCCAAATCGGAGAATGTGAGTGTGGCTGGTTGACAGTTGACGGCTTGGAGAACAGTCTAGGGTGTACGCTGCTTCTCGCCCAATGGCAGCTGTTATCGGCACCAACCCCACTCAACCCCCGAACGGGAAAAAGTGGCATAGGTAAATATAGATGGATGTTATATAGACAAAAAGGGGAGAGACCTTTATTATTATAGCTAAATGATTTAAAAAGTCAACATGTTTCAGCCAAAGAGGTCTTCATCAGGGCTGGCAAACAACTTTTTAAAGAGAACATGTTTTTATCACACAAACAAAAAACCTTAGAAGGGGTCTCACAGTATGTAAATATGAAAATATACTTCACATCTGTGAATAGATGGATATTTGGACTAATGCAGAGTTTGTGTCGGAGTCTTTATGTTTTCTTAATAGTAATAGTAATACTTCGAAAGTGATCATTTATTGATTATCTCTACATGATTAATCAATATTTTAACGATAGTCGGCCTAACAATCCGCAGATGCATCACTGTCTTATGATTCATTGAACTAACTTTGATTGCACACTGAAACGTATTTGCTGTCTTTGTTCACCATTAGACTGTTCTATATTTCATTATCAGCTGCCACAATGAAAAAATAATAATTTAACAAAATATAAGCCATTAACAATATCAACTAAACATACTAAATAGTCTTTGCTGATTTATTTAATTTAAACTATGTCGTTCTTAAAGTGTCTGTTCTGTCTTACAGTATTTAAAGCTTTTCTGATAAGAAATGTAACATTAAAAACATGTTCCCTGTTCAGTTTCCATAAAGTACTGTAAATACAAAGATGATGACAACAAAATTCTCATTTCTGAAATATAGTGTGCTAAAAAACTACTAAGTTATGGCACGAAAACATGTGTTAAAAAGCAACACTTGCATAAAAATGGCACACGTAAGTGCCATTTAACTTGTTTGTGGTTTGTCAGTTTTTGAGGAGAGGCAGACGGAGAGGATGTAAAAATCTTTGTCAAGTTTAGCTCTTTAAATCTGTCTTTTACCCTTATAGATCTAACCTGTGTCTAAAAAGACAGACTTTGAGGTTATGTTGCGCTTGTATGGATAATTGTAAATTATGGTTCCTATTAAAGTTGATTTTGTTTTCCTGTAAACCTGGAATAGTGTTGAAGGATGGCAGGAGCTAGAGACTACATCGTTTATTCTATTTGCATTAGAGTACAAACAGAGGAGCTTTACAGTATGAACGCTGTCCCTAATACTTGTATGTACTTAGGGTTGTTCTGAAACTTGTAATCTAGTTGACATCTCGCCCCCCCATTAATAAATATATACATCTGATTCTGATAAGACTAAAGACCTGAGGCTGTCATCCCTCACAGCAGGGGGAAAAACAAAGAAATTATTGATTGCTGCTAATCTGAAAAGGCTCTCTGTTTTTAATTGTCAAACAACTCAGGCTCAAGTGACCAACCCTTTGCATTACTTATTTGTGGAACAGTCACTTCTCGGCTGTAAATAAATATGTCACTGTGACGTGCAGCAACATTGACCTTATAAGGTCAAAAGAGAAGTTCTTCTACTTTTTCTATTTTCAACTATTTTTCTTGGCTTTTAGGGTTCACACATAGAATATCTTATTGTTCCTTCTTTGTGCAAACATGTAGTGTGTTAGTGTGTTAGTGTTAGTGTGTGTAAACTCCAGACTGCTCAGATAACATATCTATTGAATGATCAAACTTAGAAAATATCAAAGCTTTGTTGTTGTTATGTTTGCTTTCAGTGATGCTTTAGATATGCTTTTGCACAAAGAATGAACAATAAATTTAGATATTGTATGTGTGATCCCTAAGCCAAGACAAATAGATTCAAGTAAAAAAAAGAGCTCGCATTAATCACTTTATTCCTCGTAAATTTCCTTTTTATGTGTCAAATTAAACTGTATGATTAGTTCTGTTCCTTTACTGGCTGGTCAAGGCCACGGTGAACTTCAAGGTCGATAATGGGAGATAACAGTGATCATATCTTTATAGCGGATTTCTCTGGCACGCCCTGGCCTTCATGATCTACACTAGCTGATAGTATTTCATTGTATAAATAGTGAATATGAAACAATATCATGGCCATGTGTTTATTGTGAAACTTCCAACTGTTTTGATTTATTTATTCAGTGCAACAGCTCAGTGTCAGTAAATCAGAGCATTGTTTAGGTCTTGAAATGTTTAAGACAAAATACTTTTAACAATAAATGACAAAATAACAAAATCTTAAGCAGTTCTAACATATGATGTAACAAAAAACTATAACAAGACACAAATATAAATTTAGGAACATAAATACAACTTCAAATAAATAAGTTTCAAACTCATGAATGACTGCCTGGTCCACAATGAATTTCAAAACATTGACATGTTTGCACCTTCAAAATTAAGTATTACAGCAGGCTTTTTTCATCATGTAACATATATTTCAAGTGGCAATGATCTCCCCAAGGTCACTTTCACTTTAACTTCAGGCACAGTGACATTTACTGACTATCAGGTCATTAAAGGGCGTCAGCTTCAGTTTTCCCCTGCTGTCGTAGTGCATGAGCACCATGGGCTCGTAGGCGGCCGGCACGCAGCAGGGCCGAGGGGTCCCTCCTTTTGTGATCTGGTGCAGCCGAGACTTCACCTGCGTGTGCATGCTGGCTGGCTTGTAGTTGTGGGGGCAGGAGCCGTCACAAAAATGCATTGTGTACTCAGTCGGTGCCACCACCCAGTCCGTCCAGCCGATGTCTTTAATGGACACAGTGACAGACCTCCTGCAGCACCACCCTCGCTCATCGCAGTCGTCTTCCTTGTTGGAACGAGGCAGCCTCGTCTTCCGGGCCGGTTTGAGACCTAACTCCAGAGAAATGGTTGGGTTCACCTTCAGAGTGTTTTCACCCACGACTATCCCTACATCCACAACCAGCCTCTGACCTTGACCAGTTCTCATCCAATTCTCCACCTCAGGCCTGATGTCCAGCATCACATCTCGAGTGCTTGACACGTTCACAAAGTCTGGGGAATTCACCGGCTTCTTCCGGTTGACTTTAACTTTAATCTCTGGTCTTAATGCAGGCTGAACTAAAGTGGCTTCATCTAAAACCTGCCTGGAAATCTTCATCTGAGCCCGAGTCAGTGTCAGCTCAGCCTGGATGTTGGGGTTCTTGTGGAAAACAGCTCTGTACCACTGCACATGTTGACCTGAGGGAAGGTGTTCTGTCCGCCCTGGAGCTTTTTTTGTCTTCACTGAAAAAAAATAAATGCAGAAACAAAATAAAAGATTAATTAGAACCAAAGTTTGACGAATCCTTAATAGTTAATTTTCAAAACTAATGCTTACAGTTTTAATTTTGGTTCATTTTCAACAGACAGACATTCTAACAGCTATACAACATAAACTCACTTGATAGCACACTAAAGAGTAGAGAGTGATCGCAAACACAGCTATGTTCCCAACATCATAAACAGGGTGTGCCTGTCATGATTATGATTTCTCAGAACTTTTTGGAATGTGAACGCTGTGTGAACAGCACTGTTTGATGTTTTACAGATTGTATTTCTGCCCTACACTGAACAGATAAAGTCCAGGCAGTGATAGATCTTTACCTGGAGGACAAACTGTGCTAACGCAAGTTATTTATAGACGACAACGGCCTTTGTCTGCAGCAGAAGGACATTCTTTCCTACTCCCACTTAAACTTTCTGATTTGGCTTTTTTAAAAACAGTCATTTAAATGTGTCAATTGCTACATTAGATGTATTCTAGATGTCTGAAATATGTCTTACCTGTAGCTGGAAAGAGCACAGTATACATGGTTTCCCTCATCGTGTTGCTGGAATTTCCTCTCATCTCTCTCAGTGTCTCCCTGTAGAGCCGGTACATCCTCCTCAGCTCTTCCTCTGAGGCCTTGTGTGTAGGCCTGGGCTCCCTCTCCAGCCCCAGTGAGCCAAGGATCCCCGTCTTCACAGCCTCTAGAATCATGACCCTCTGACTGTCTTCCCTGTCCCCACCAGGAGCTCCTTCTTGGGCTTCATGAGGCCGGCTCTCCTCTGAGCTTGTGACAAACGCAAGGATCATCAGCGTGCAGAAGATGAGTCTGGGGAGGGTGTGTGATCTGAGCATGGTGAAGCTGTCAGGTAGGTCTGCTTTGAATGTTATGAATGAAATTCTTCACATGGTTTTTATTTATAGAGCTTCTGGGTTGCCACACCCCTGGTATGTCAGGTGAGCCTGTGATGGGCTCAGGTATGGCAATATGTCATGATGTGGAAAAATTTTGCAGCGTTGTGTTATGTGTCATGTGACCTATGAAATATAACCTTTTTCCTTTGCCACTCAGTGAGAGGTGAAAGCAGAGATAGTAGTTGTGTAAAATTACAGGATTTCTGAATAAAGCAATGATTTGCTACATCACTAGAAAATTCCCGCTTGTCCTAATCAAATGATTGACCATGTTGGTTACGGTAACCATTTGTAAGGGTGGTTACGATGGGAAATTACATCAGCTCACTCAAGGTTAATGATAATGGTGTGAAGGTTTATTGATCACTACAAGGCTGTGCTTCCTACTTTTCCTAACAACTATGCCAAGTGTGCTCAGAGGTCAGTATCAGATACAGACCAGAGCAAATATGTAACATTTAGAAACGATACGGTTTGGGCTCTTCTCACCCAGAAACTTGGAAAAAAAAAAAAAACAACATTTAACTGTTGTCTTTCTTAATATCTATCGGGCTACAAACTCCCTCCTGAACAGGTGTTTGGAAACTAGATCCAGTCTTTTATTACTATTAAACCAAAGGAATCCAAAAAACACACCTCTTTCTCTCCCAGCTCCTGTTGTCTGAGTGTGCGGCCCTTTTGACTTACCTTTTGAAGCTCTGATTCACTCACTGACAAGTTGCTGAAACTGGCAACAATCCAGTCTCACTATACAGCTATGAACAAGGTGGAGAGAGTTAATTATGAGGGTGTCACTCCTCCCTATAGCAGTTGAAAGAGGAACTGTCTCAAGGTCAGATTAAGAGATAAACAAACAAAGAAGTTATCTGTGTGGAAAGAGCCTCAGTGTAACTCTACAGTTCACACCTGAGGAAGAAGATCGATGTTGTGAAGATGATCTATTTTGGTTTCGCTTAAAATAGAGCGAAAATGTCTCTAGATTCTGTCTATACCGGCCTCTGTGTCATTCTTTGAGTTACAGTTGTTGGGGAATACAAAGAAGTGCACATTAGACGAAAGTCCTCACTTCTTGTACTAAGCAGGGTCAGTGCACTGCATGATTACAAAGTAGCTTCCCTACCCTAATACGTGTCTGTGTCATTGACCTCGTTCTTCCCATCAAGGGCATTCCCGACTCAAAGCAATTACTGGCTGATAAAGAGTTCACTTTATGAAAAATGTCCGTAAAAGGGCATCTATGGACTTTCTTTTTTGACAAATCATGAGCTTGGAAGCGTTACACACCCTCCTGGCATGCAGATAGTGAAACTGCTGAGTCATCAGAGGTTTAGTGGAGGAAAAATACTAATATTTACATAATGATATCATGGAATCATAAACCGTTTGAAAAAGAGCAACAAAGGACCATAAAGAGAACTCGTAAAATCATAAAACCTGATACAACACACAAATGGCATAATAGGACCGTAAAATGAACTCAATGCTTATTAAATGACACAGGTGCATTTTTAGCACAGAGCTGAAGTTAGACAGAGGTAAAAGGCTCCAGGTTTTAATTCTGACTCTCAACCATTTGCTGCATGTTACCCCACACTCTCTCCTCCAAATATTATGTCTTTCATCAGTTCCATCAGGGCGACTGTCAAGTTACATTAAATGTCATAATTCTTCAATCAAAATTGCGGCTGTGGGGTTTCAGGGTTGTGTCATACGACTCACAAAAACGGAAGAGGTAGAAAATAAATTCTGCCGTACAACATTATAAATGTTTTTTACTGACTTTTTCAGAATGCTGGTGTCATGTAGGAGACTTCCTCTTTCTGGCTGCTACTTTTAAAAAATGAAAAAGAAAGAAAGAGAACTTTTGTTTGCGGTCACCATCATAGACACATGCACTCTTAGCCACTGCTAGACTATAACAACTCAAGAGTCAAAAAGGTTG